GTGTTCTTTATCCGATTGTTTTTTGATTTGTATTTCTTTTAAAGTACTCTCATTTTTATATCCTTTCTAGTGTCAATGACGGTAATTCTGTTGCCTTGGTTTTAAGTTCTGTATAGGAAGGAGTGCTAGGTAGCTGTTTCATAAGCTTTTTTAAAAGTTTGTTTAATGATACCATTTATTTGAAAAGGTCAGTAACCCTAAATATAATTTTAGTGAGGAAAGAGTTAAGAAACTTTGTGGTTCTCCCCCTGCCATTAGTTTGAGCCAGGAGACAGCTCCCCTGACTTGAATCCTGGATCAGCATGTTGGCTCCACTGAACAGCAATAGAGGAAAAAGAGAAAGAAAAATGTAAAAGTGATCTATATGCAAGAATGTATCTATATATAGAAGTTTTCCATGGAGCACCAGACACTTCTTAGGAATTAATGGCAAACTGGCCCAAATCATACAGTGCTTACAAACTATACTGAACTTGCTGTTTCTGCTCCAGAGATGCATTGACAAGTTTTCTTTGTAAGTACACAGTCAATCTTGAACAAAAATTACCAGTTCTATTACATCAATTATCTGTACTGCTTTTTATGTATAATCCTGTATTGCTTGTTACTTAACAATTATTGCACATTATGTATTAAACTTTATAAGCAATGAAGCCAGTTGATTGAGCTGCCTTGGGAAGGGGGAGGAAGTAGATGTTATGAGGTATTTGGAGAATAATTAATTAAATGATCATAACACAGCCATGCAGAGAGCTAAGACCTCTCTTCCCTCCTAAATCCTTCTGCTTAGTTCTGCAGTTGTAATCCTGCCTGCACAGAACAAAATGAATGCTACTTGCCCTTACTCCATTTGCAGGCTAGTGGATAGGAAAGGACAGAAAAAGTCCTTTACTCATTGCCCCTCAGTCTCCTCTCTTGCTTACAAGAGCAAGTATGTGAGGACACAGAGGATAAGCAGCTGTGTTTTTTAGAACAGTAGAACATCTTGTTTCACCCTTCAAGGAAGAATCTGGGGCAGGACAGGGAATTCACTCTTGAGGCTGCACAGCGATGAAGTCTTGCTTACTCAAGGCAGCTTGAAACACTAGGAGCAATGGTCAGAAAGTACAATGTGGTTGGGTTCTGCTTGGTAGAAGGTCCAGCATTAGTTGTGAAAGCAAGTCATTGTATGTAGCGAGCTACCAAGAATGCTGCTTGGTGTTTAATGATAGTTGAAAAGCAACCAGGATATTAGAAGCTATAAAGTATGAAATATGAGAGAGACTTGAAATGTTGTGATGGATTTGGAGAATACTAAAGGCATATCAGTTCCCTCCAGTAATACTATGCTGGTTTACAGCTGTATGGTTGCATAAGAAACAATACGGGACTTTGCGTTTCAACTGCTTCCACTCGAACCTGTTTTGCCGCTGCTGTTCTGAAGGATGAAGTTCTTTATTCTTGTTATCCCATCATGTGGGAGGATGCTCTGTTTTATTAGTGGACTATTGGTAAGATATGGTGAAAGTATAAGAGGAGATTTTATCACTAAAATGTTGGACCAAGAAGGTACTGAAAAAGGCAGTTGATGTGTACCCATGGTTCCCAGGAACCTGCACTTGGTGTTGTCTTGATGAAGGAAGTCAGGAGAGTGCCATTTAAGAAGTACTTTTCTAGCAGTCATCACATACTTATGTGTAGGGTATCATCAACAAAAGTTCCATTACCAGTATCTGATTATTTGTTAATCTTCTGGAATTCTTCATTGTCCATAAGAGAAAGCGGGAATTACATTTTTCTCAAATGTTGTACAGACCCATACATTTTCCTGTGTATATCCAGTGGTTAGCAAAAAAGGGTGACCTAAAAGAGCAGAAGAAAAGCATAAAACCTGACTGATCATGTGCAGTAGATACTATTGTTTGCTACAATTGCAAATACAGGGATTCTTTTCATTGCTAAAATATGAGCAATCTGAGCTGCTGCTTGTTTGGCAGGATGGCAGCTGAGCTCTGCTCACAGTGATAGGAGTTCAGCCTCTGTTAGCATCTTGATCACCCATTACGCAAGCAGAGTATTACTGAGCAAAAGGCTTTTAAAGAGCCATTAGGATTGTGTTCATTAGGAGTGCAGTGCGATGTGAGTAAGTCAAGCTGATCACAAGTTCCCCCTAGTGAGGGAATCAGTAATAGTTTCTGCACAGGGCGGTAGTTACATAGACTGCAAAGGTAATGAACTTTGCTGCATTGCGTATGTGTTCTGCTTGTGTGTAAATGTAAAGGGCTTAGACATGGTAAGGTAAGTATGGGAAGCATGATGAATTCATCACACAGGTCCTTCCATTCTTCTGTTATTAATCAGCACTTTTATATCTCTTTTAGTCTTCAAAATTTTGTTTCACATTGTTGCATATTTGAATAGTTTGTGCACAATCTTGTTTTCTAGAACTTGAAGAAAAAGATTACAAAGTTTAAGCTTACAGGAGTTTTCTTACAAATGCCATTTTAGAAGCAGATTTTGACCCTATGGGCTATTTTCACCTTGTGGTTCAGGGCTATTAGTATGACATCTTCCCAAAAAGTGCGTGGGTAGAAAATTTGAAGGGATAGTGGCCATCTTAGTGGAGAAAATGAATCTACTTTTCCTGGGTTTTCTAGAACCTTTCACACATAACTGTGGACAGTTCAGTTCTGTTTGGTGTTCTGATATGACAGCTATGGATGCTATATGTGCAGATCTGTACAGATTTTGGTCCTTTTGGTACTGTGAATCAAAATCACTTGTCTTGTGTGACTTTCTTTGTGAAATAGCAGATTATAGCTATCCTGTACAGACTGGAAACGATACTTGGAAAGCTGAAAATTACATCATTAATTCCTTTCACCTGTTGCCTACAAATTCAGTTTGGTTGCAAATACAGAGTCACTGTCTGGCAATATTAGTCACCTAGATCTAGAGATCCTGTCAAACGTGTGTTTTTCTAAACCTTTCACTGTATCATAGAATCACAGAATCATCTAGGCTGGAAAACACCTTCAGATCATCAAGTCCAAACATTACCCCAAGACTGCCAAGTTCCATGACTAAGCCATGTCACTGAGGGCCTCATCTAAATGTATTTTGAACACTTGCAGGGACAGTGATTCCAGCACTTTCTTGGGCAGTCGGTTCCAATGCCTGAGCACCTTCTCAGTGGAGAATTTTTTCCAGATATCCAATGTAAACCTCCCCTGGCACAGCTTGAGGCTGTTAATTCTTGTCCTATCACTTGTTACTTACTCCCTCCCCACTACAACTTCCTTTCAGGTAGTTGTAGAGAGTGATAAGGTCCCCCCCCTTCTCCAGACTAAACAACAGGCATAAACAATATGTAAATGTGTTTATTTTTAGCCAAAGATGGTAGACTCTAAGGGTGTGCTTACATTAGGACAAATCAGTAGTAGAGAGAAACTAAATACTTAGGAAAGTCATTCTGATATGTAAAGGGTTTGCACAGATGGATAATCTACGGAATACAGAGTAAATCATCAGGATATCAGAGGTATTTAAAAAAAACCCAAAACAATAGCAGCATCTCTTCTGCATGCTGTGCATTCACTTCTAAGTGTTGACATGACTGTCATCCACATATGCTCTGTCAGTGACATCTGATGAAAAGCACTGTTTCAGGAATTACATGCCAGAGACTGTTTGAAGGAAAGGGAATCACAAGTACAAGATGCAGCTTGTCCTTACAGTGAGCAGTTGGAGTAAGGGAAATGCACAAAAACAGCTGTGCTACAGAAGTGCAGAGGGACTTACCCCTTCTCTGTACACAGGTCAGCTGTACCGGTAGTAGCCACCAAAGTGAAGAACCTCTTTTTAGTGAGTTAATGTCCTGTGTTACGGCACCCACTGGATATGCCAGACCAGGACTGCAGCTTTGGAAACACTGCTTGGTGTCAGGGGTGGCTTCCCAGCAACAGCTCTCAGTGTCCAGGCCAGCAATTCTGTGTTTCTTTTAGTGACAGTACATATGGGAGCAGTCTACAAGTCATACTGGACAGTTAATGCATCAGAAACTACAATAATTTTGTTCTCCTACAGCCTCAGAATCAGAGGTCTGAATGAATTACAAAAAGACATACAGCTGATTCAGTTATAAAGGTTTTTTGTAGCCCAGTTCTTTCAACAAAATCTATCTTCTGTAAATTGACAGTCTACACCAGTTGAGAGTTGTTCTATCTGGACTACTTAAGAGCTATGTGAACTTAAACACATTGTTTTACAATTGCCAGTCTTATTGGCATCTTTCAGGATGACCATTTGGTAATTCTAAAAAACCTTTTACCTTTCTGTTAAGAAACAGGGTTGGAAAGGACCTTAACTATTCTATGATTCTATGATTCAGAATGTGTATACACCCAGGAATCCTCTTTGATAATAGATGATGAGTTTTTAAAAACGTTTCTTAACAGAAATGTAAAAGATTTCTTAGAATTACCAAATTATCATCCTGAGTGAATCAAAGTGGTGGTGCACCTTAATTCCATGTGAATTGGCAGTAATATTCATAACCTTGTTTTCTGTATAGGAAAACTCACATTTTGTGGAAGTACTTTCTTCAGCCCTCAGAAGCTGACAGCCAGAGCTCATAGAAGAGTGGTGTGCAGAACTCGCATGTAGTCTGGGAGATGTGATGTCTCTCGAAATACAGTTTTTAAGTGGGCTGCCTACGTATAATCAGCTTCAGGAATATCCTTCTTTAAAAAACGGAATATAATATTGCAGCAATAATTTTATTTTAACCCTTGTTGAAGATAGTTTTAGTTAATCTTCAATGTTTTTTCTGTACAAAGTTTCTGAGAACCCATGGGGATGACTGCTTGCGGGAGTTCTCAAATGCCACTGACAAAAAGGCACAATCTTCCACTTAACAGAAATGCATACAACCCCTACAGGGTTTGTTACTGCTTACTTTTCTAGTTGTTTGCAGAGGAAGGTATGACTATATCTGTAACGCCTTCCTACAAACTTTACAGGGACATGGCTGAAGAGTAGTTTGGGTCTTGTACAACAAGAAGGAAATCAGTTGACTTGGACTTACATTGCACCTCAGCTGGGCTACTGGGTTGCAGCTATGTCACCTACTGTCCCAGGTAAGATGGAATTGAATTTTATTGATGTTCACAGCACTGAGTAATTATTTATTCATCTATAATGTTTATGTTTTTCAGAATGACCCCATCTGAGATGCCACAGCTTGATCAATAATGGATTATTAGAAAAAAGAAATCTGAAAGTAAAGGGCTAAAATCTTTCGGGGATTGTGGGGGGGCAACTCTTGTGCTCAAAATCCCTGAGCCATTTAAATGGGAAACTTATTAAAGTGTTCCTGCTTTGATGCATTTATGTCACCACTGCCTGGTAGAGCCATTGCTAGAAGGGGAGTTACAACATCAATGTATTGGTGTTACGGCAGGTAGAAAAATAACGTGCTGTGAAGTTTCTGTGCAGAAACTCTCAAAGAAATGGGTTCACCTAAGACCAACATCATTCTGGGTTAGATGTTTACTAATGGTCTGATTGATTGATTGATTGTTGTTTTTCTTTTACGCTGAAGATGCCCATTTTGCCCTGACTTATGTTTTGCATCATCTTGGTGTTTGATTAATTCACACCGCAAATAACTTGGCATAGAAGTTCTGGAAAGTGTATTAACAGAGTGGCATTAGGAGACCAGATGACTGGTTACCATCTGCAAGCCTCTTGGCATAACTGTAGAAAATCACTTTGAATTAGGCATTACATGTACTTCTGTGCCTATGGAGATCATTAATGCTGCAGCTTGCTCTTCATTTTTTCTAGGTGGCTGCCTAGATTTCATAGTGTTAGTTCTTCAGCCACCAATAACCAGAGATACCTCTCTGTATAAAAGAGCTAATCAATCAAACAAAAAAATACCTCCTTCTTTTCCAGATTTTCCTTAGTAGGTTTTCTGGATGAAAATCAAACCAGTAGAAATGAAAACATTCTTGCCTTAGTTGTGCAAGCTAAATAAACTATATCTAACCAACAAAACAAACCCTAGCATGAGGACTGTTTTTAAAGTCTGTTGTATATGCCATGAAGTTGTTCCATGGTACGCAAGCTTTTGATTTAGGCTATATTAAATGAAACTGCTGGAATATTCAGCTGAGTCCTTGGCGAGCAGAATTTGGAGGCAGGTGCAGATCTGGATAAGCTCTCATACTGGATTTAATGGAACTTTACAAAAGAATTGTACTTTAAGAAAAAGCAACTGCTCTGAATCAGACATTTTGCAGACTGCAAGGAAGTTACACTAGCCATAAAATTGTTCCTGTAGCTCTAAGGTTAGAAGGTGTGTAACACTAACAGAAGGCTTATTTGTCCTTGCAATTTCACTTGTATGGCAGAGTTTTTCCTTGTATTTTACTTTTCCTTCTTTCTCAAGGCTAGATCTGGGTTCCTAAAACTTTGTTGTAATGGGAACAATATCTTCATGAAAAAATTCAAGTGGTTTATCTCTTCTTTTTGCTTAATGTCCTGAAGCAACAGTATCAATCAATTATATAAAGGTAGTTGTGGGCCAGAATGTATAGATATTTGTATTTCCCAAATGCCGTATAATTGATGTTATTTTTAATAAGGTTAATGTCTGCTTATTTTATCTCCTCACTGAATCTATTTAATTTCTTATGTCAAAAAAATGGGCAAAAAATGAGCATTGTATTCCTAGCAGTGGCTCTGCTGACAACTCAAGATCCACAGATGAGGTTTTACAAGCCTCATGATCTAGAACCTTAATGTTGGCCGTGTTGGCTGTCCTTCACAATATGTGCATGTTACTCTGTCAGCTGGTGCTGTACCTCCTTGCCTGCAGATGAACATTTGGGCTGTTACTTCACAATCATGATAAGGATTTTACAAACCAACAGGGTTCCACATGCGTAATTGTGAACAGATGCTGTTCATGTGTGTGCATTCCTTCATATGTTAGAACATTTACTAAGCATTATTGAAACCTGGAGTTACAACACTGTTTCACTAGTGGCCTGGTTTTTAAAGCTACTGAAGATCTGCTTGGCTTGGCTTGATCTAGACTTCAGAGCACCAACACATCTTCCAGTGAATCCTGTACTGCACTATATGTACTGTTTAGTGCAAAGCACCACAAATGTTGTTAAAGAGAAGTTGTTTGCCACAGGGCTGCTGCATGCATTACAGTGCTGGAAGATGTTGTAATGGTTTTTCCTGCAGTGATGTGAGCTTTTGTGCACTGTGTTGGCATCAGGAACTGGAAGGCAGCCTTCACTGGCACATACTCCCACCGATACTAACTGCTTTTCCACAGAATGATCTATTTAGACTCGCAGTCATGAAAACCAGCACATGCTTTCTCTACAACTTGCTCCCTGATCCAGAGGTGGTCTGCTCAATAGGCACCAGGGCTATGAGCGGCAGTGTTGCTCACTTATCACCCTCATAACAGGGATGGATGTCGCTCTCTGTTTAAGTGTTGTTCTGCTTCGTGTTTGCAGGTTGTTAACAGGTCTAAATTCTCTTTTCTGGCCCTCCAGGTCCCGTTGTAACTCACGACATTACCAGCTATCACACAATGTTTCTTTTGGCAATTTTAGGAGGGATGGCTCTCATACTTCTAGTCTTGCTGTGTCTGCTTTTGTATTATTGCAGGTAAGATTCACAACCCCGGTTACTTAGTTTGTATTGGAAATAGAAGGGGTTTTGTGCTTGTCAAATTACAAGCTTTTGTATTGAAACTTTTTCACTTTGGGAATTTAGGAGAGGGGGAAGGCAAGCAAAGGCTTGAAGAAGAGAGAAACAGTGAAATCAAATTTCATACATTCCTGAATACATGCAGCATGTACAATCTTTGCCTTTGGTAGGATGGTAGTTGAGTGAATCATACACATCTGTACCTGTGATTTTCTTGTAAGATGTTCTAAAACCTCCTGTCGAACATGGGCATAGGTACAAGATGTCTGTCGTTGTATCTGTTACACATTTCATAGAATAATGGAATAGTTAGGGTTGGAAAGGATCTTAAGATCATCTAGTTCCAAACTAGATGCCCTGGGACACCTCAAATATTTGCAAGTGATATTTCTGTTGATCTTACATTAAAATGAATGTTAAACTTTTATCAGCAAGTGTATATTAATGAGTGATTTGGTATTTGCCTCCTCCAGACATTTGCTCCAATTTGTAATTGGTGCTTTAGATATTTCCCAATTGACATTAGTTATTCTTTAATTTTATCTTTGCTGCTGGAATAAGCTTTTAATTGTTAGGTTATGTAATAAAAGCACAATTCCCCTAATACTAATCACTGCTAAAAAATCTCCCATTAAAACACACTTGCTGCTCTTGTTTCTGTGTAAAACAGTCATAAATGTGTAACTTCTTTTTTTACTGGCTTTTGTAGAAGAAAATGTTTAAGACCACGTCAGCATCATAAGAAACTGCAGCTTTCAACAGCACTGGACACTTCTAAAAAGGATCAAGCAACCTCAATGTCCCATATAAATTTAATCTTTTCACGTCGTGAGTCAGAATTTCCTGGCGGATTGTCCGTTGCTAGCAATGGACACACTGAAAACTCAGGTGCAAAGGAATTAATCAGTGCTGTCCACATGGAGATGGCATCACCTAGTGGAGAAGCAGATATGCATACACCTATGCTCAAACACTCATTCAGCACTTCCCAGGAGTTTAGTGCGCGAGAGGAACTGATCTTTGAGAAGGAGAAAGACAAGAGCAGAATTTCCTTGGATGACCTGACTCCCAGTGGGTCTCTAAGGAAGGACTACCACAAGTCAGCAGATAGTTTTCCTTTAAAGACAAGAAAATCTACAGAAACAGCTGAAGGCTATGAGTCCCCTATCAAAGATGAGTATAGGAGGAGTTACAATGCTATGCTGTCTCAGCCTTTGTTTGAAAAGCAAGAGAGAGAAACTCAAGTATCTATGAATCATATTGCTACTGGAAGTAAATACAATATTCAGGAACAAATATACCCCACACCTTCAGCCCCTGAAAAAGAGCTGCTGGACTGCAGACCTACTGATTGTATGATGTCTCGTTCAGTTGATCACCTTGAAAGACCTACATCTTTCCCTCGACCAGGTCAGTTAATCTGCTGCAATTCTGTTGACCAAGTCAATGACAGTGTTTACAGAAAAGTTTTGCCTGCGCTGGTCATCCCAGGTCATTACATGAAATTGCCAGGAGAGCATCCTTTTGTTAGCCAGCCACTGGTTGTCCCAGCTGACCAGCAGATTGATATAGAAAGACTTCAGGCTGAGCTTCCTAACCCTCATGCACGGCTTTTTCCACACCCCCCACAACAGCTGCAACCCCAGCAGTTAGCATCCCAAGCAATATCTCAGCAACATTTGCAAGATGCAGGTGCAGCTGAGTGGAGTCAACAAAATGCTTCCATGTCTGAATCTATTTCCATTCCTGCCTCACTCAACGATGCATCCCTGGCTCAAATGAACAGTGAAGTGCAGCTTCTTACAGAAAAGGCTTTGATGGAATTAGGAGGTGGAAAGCCACTGCCTCATCCTCGAGCATGGTTTGTTTCTCTAGATGGACGTTCAAATGCTCATGTTAGACATTCATACATCGATCTCCAAAGAGCTGGTAGGAATGGGAGTAACGATGCCAGTTTGGACTCTGGCGTTGACATGAATGAACCAAAATCTGCCCGAAAGGGAAGAGGAGATCATCTGTCTGCGCCACAGAGTCACCCACCAGTGCAAGAGCACCAGCAGCGAGAGCGGAAGGTTTCAGATAGCACAGCTTACACACAGCTTGTGTACTTGGATGATATGGACCAAAGTGGCAGTGAGTGTGGAACAGCGGTTTGTAGCCCTGAGGACAATGCTCTACGATGCCTGCTAGAAGGCACGAGTAAGAGAAGTGGTGTGCAGCTGCCCAGCCTGCAGGAGGAAACAAGAACTGTGGATACCAAACCAGAGCCATTAACTAGTCCTGAACATGGAACATCAGTTCAAGATGAGGAGGAGGATGAGGAAGATGACCAAGGTGAAGATAAGAAGAGTCCTTGGCAAAAGCGAGAGGAACGACCACTAATGACTTTCAATCTGAAGTGAGCTATTGTGAAAATCCACCATTCAGTGGAGTATGAAATTGCCAAATATTCTTTCTGTGGAAGTGCTTGATTTATTTTTTTTTCCTTTCTTGTTTTTTGTTTTGTTGTGGAGAGAAGAGAAAAACTGTGGTGAGCAACATTTGAAAGAACTTAAATGCATTACTGTGTAAATGTTAGAAAAGAATTTAAATCATTCCTTTGATTTAACAGCTGCCTCCAGTGAGATATCTGAACAAAGAGTGTGATTATTATTCCATATACTTGATATTGGTCATCCAGGATGTTGAAAATACTGACAAGTTCTTTTGGTTGGTTTATGACCTCAATCTCCTTATGAATGGGAGCTGGTAAAGCTTTTGTTTTGTAGGCCAATTTTATGTTGATAATGCTACTGAAAGTATCTTAAAAACAAGGATTTGACACGTGGTGTCCAAAATTGTGCATTATCTCAATGAAAGGCTATGCATTGCTGCTTTTAGTAATATTTTGCTTATACTATGCTTTTCTTAATTTTACAAGTTGGTTGTAAACATTTTATGTCCTTTATTATAAACTACTCAGCAATTTATTTTAATGTAAAACTGCAGGAAACTTGAGTAGCATCCCTTAGCATTGAAGCCTTTTTATGAAACCAAACTGAACTTTGTGTCGACTAAGATTCCTCCAATTCTGGTCCCATTTACTCAAAGTGCCTTTTTTACAGTAACAATGAACAGTCCCTTCTTTTGCTAACTCCTTTTAATTGACCCCATTTGAGATTTTATAAATTTCTGAACTTCTACCTTTTATTTTAAGCTGCATGCCAAGAGTCCCATTTTGTGCTGAGCATTTCTCATTTCAATACAGTGTATTCTGTAGCTATCCTGTATATTGTGGATTCTGTTTAGCCAGGATAGACTTAGAAGTCATTTTAAAGGGCCCAGAGTAGCCAAGAAGATAGTTTCATTGACTGTATATATTGTTAGTTTCCTCTGGAATCATATGAGTTGATCATGCTCATATAAAATGGACTATAGACCGAGCAAGTGGACTTAATGTGTCTAGAAAAATTCTGGGAAAGAAAAAACAAATAACAATGTACTATCCAGAAGTGCCAGAATGACTCTTCTGTGCTTTCTCCATACAGAGCTGCTTGGTTATCCAAAAATTATAATTAAAAATAAAGTGCAAAAAATACCTTTGTGAATTTTTTCCTCTGTTGATAGTCATCACATTATTTTATGTTATTTAATGAGAAAAATACTTTGGTTTCACTTTGCTGTGCGTATGTATCTATGCTTGTGTGACTTCCATGCTCTCTCATGCAATTCTCATGAACTTCAGTCAATACTGAAATTAAAACCACTTTTCAGAAAAGCATCCTTCCTGTCTTGATAGATACATAACTATTTACTTAAGTATCATTGAAGACCTTGGAAATTAAATCCTGGTATCACTAAAATTTGCTATGGAGTCATGCTTCCTGTGGGACCAGTTTTCTTTCTGAGATTTCTTTGGATGCTCATCACATACTTCTCACTTCTTCATGAATCAGGTTCAAAGAAGGGAAAGTTTGACATTCACTGTTGTGGAATCCTTCGTATACTTTAAGTTTACATTTTTATGCAGCATTAGCAGCAGTCATGCTTAATAAAGTTAATTATTACATTGTCTCCAAAGTGATTAGAGAAAGTGGTATATAGTTCCTATTTAATTTTTAATAGTAAACCCTGACTTGGATTCATCGTGGGGGGGGGGGGTGTCAGTAGATTTCAAGGTTTTCTTACGAGGCCAGTGTTGTAATTTCTGTCTTACTGAATGTCTTAACCGGGAATCTGGGCTTGGGCCAGCAACCAAATCCTGATTTCCTAGTTGCCAGGCCAGTGCTCCTCCATCCACGAAGTCACTTCACCTCTGTTTTGCTTTGAGCTTTGATTTATGTTTGGAAGTGGTGTATGTTGTGAAAGAAATCTAAAATAATGTTTGTGGAGTGCACTGAACATTGAAGTCACCATATTGGCAGTAAGTTATGGTTTATTCATCATGTGTTCCAGATCCTTCCTCTTCTATTTAGGAATTTTGCTACTGACCACATGTGAACTGTCTCTGGGACCTGTCTGTGCAAGGTCACTGAACAGGAAAATACTGCTTTAGAGGAATAGTATTTGTCAGATGTCAGTAAGTGCTGGTAACACAGTGTCACTTATTAATCAGAATGCTGCATCAAGTAAACATTCTGGTTAGAATGTCCACGTACTAGAATTATCGTGCTATTTAATTTTGAACTCTCTGTTGTCTTAAATGGGTCATTTTTAATTGCATTATTTTTCAGATTCCGTTGCATTTTCCATCATTATCTTGTAAAGTGAGATTGTTGCTATTAAATTGCAGTGGTTTGTTTCTTTAATTGTGTTGGTTTTATGTTCAAAGCATGTATTTTGATGGTCTGATAATTTATGAAATTATACAACAGATGTATTTGAACAAACTGTGGGTATTTTGCAAATCTCTAAAATAGCATTTTTTAAATTGCTGTGATACTATAAGCCGTATAGTAGTTGGGTTGTGCAGAATATGGAGTTTATGAAACTTGATTCTCAATATATCCAGCAGACCTGAGCCACATGTAAAACAAAATGGGAACAGAGTAACACAGATCAGATAATCAGCTGAGATTAAACTGTGTCCATTGTACACACTTTGTGTAATCTTATAGTCCAGTGACAAGTTTTGTGTTCTAATTTTCAAAAGCATACTTAGGAAGAGTTCTGTAAAATACAAAGAAATTTTGTTGCGTATATTTTGCAGTTGCACAGTGAAGCAAGTACCAATACGACATATAAAACAGGGTGAATTATAACTTTAATAGGTCTTGGTTTAAGCAGCTCCCAAGTGATCTTAACCCATGTAGAATGTAAGATAACCTAGAAAAGTAATTGTTTTCCTACTTTTTGATGACAAGTATTAGTGGGGAAAAATGCAAAATATTGTAATGACAAAGATTACAAAAGTCACAAAAATACATTGGACTTAACCTAAGAGCAGGTCTTCAATTGATCTGTCAGTAATCAGGATTTTCAAATGGATAATGAGTGAAAGAGTAAAGTCAAATCTCAGGATATATTATCCAAAGTCCATTTCATATCATAGGGCCCGTGAAATGTTAGAACTGTTGGAAGTTAATACACTCATTAAGAATCTATTCGCTTCATGGTTGTCTCTCAGCTCCCACTTATGTTCCCACTAAATACTTGCTTCTCAAAGCTTATTAAACTGCCTGTAAAGCACCTTGATTTGTTGTGATAATGACCTTCTGTTACTTGATTAAGTGCTTTGTCGGTACCAGCATGCTAAACCCTCTACAAGTACAGGGAAAAAATGGTTCCTGCCTTGCAGCATTTGCAGTAACGCATTGCACACACAAAATTGTCGTACTGAGCTTAAATGAACAGCTTACAAAGAAACCCCATCATGTGGAAGTTGCTTATGATGCTTTTCTGTCTTACAGGAAGGATTTAGTAGCTTTATTAAAGTAAATAAAGCACTCTCAAAATGCCATGGCAGTATTTTCATTTTCTTCCTTTTGTTTCATCCATGAATGCTCTGGTGGACCAACTTCATTATCCTAAACCAACGTGGTTGGTCTGGTAAGGAATTACTTGTCCCATGTAGGGTTTAGCTTACAGAGGAGTACAGGTGTAAATGAGCAAGTGTAGGATTAGATATTTACTCTCTCTAGGAAGGTCCCTAGTGAAACAAAAAGACATGTTTTTTTTCTTAACGAGTAAAACTTCTTGTATAATACAATACCTCTTGAACTAGCAGTAGGCTGTATCCTGGGGCATGGGAGCATCCATCCCATACATCCTTGGACTTGGTCAAACTAGAATAGGAATGTCTTTTCTTAAAAAAATAATAATAAAAAAATAAATTTGCTTTTCTAAAATGTATGGGTGACAGGTAAGGGGTATTTTTTAAATTACTGCTGCCGTTTGGGTCCGCTTAGCATTTGAAATTGTTGAGCTCGGAATATCTGCCACCTGGTGGTGAACTGTTTCTGCGTACATGCCGTCTATAAAACAGTTCGTAATTTCAGTATGAAGCACAGTTTGTAACTTCAATAACACCAGTTATTGAACGCAGCTGGCAAAAGAGCATCAGTTGTTCCATGGGCCTTTGTCAGTCTGAATGCTTCAGAAGTTGAGAAAAATAAAAGCTACTCAGTTATTCTTTTCCTGTTCCCCTGCTTACAGATAAATGAAAGCTGTCAGGTTCACTGCTGACCTTACTCATATATATGATATATGATACAAAGAGTATAATGATAGATCTTGTACCATGATAGATCCATACACATGATATTTTAATGATACATGTCAGATATTTCATTTCCAGGCAGCAAACCATTTGGAATTGGAGCTTCAGGTAGACCAGTAGGCAGCAGCCAAGTGTCTTTTTCAGCGTGGAGGACCATTTTTTTATGTTACTGATATAATTCCGACTGGAAAACTTTGACACCAAGTACTGTCTTCTATGTGACAGTAAGAACAGACAAGGTATCTAGTTCTTTTTGATAATCCTCTGGTATCCACAGATTACTAGCTTGCAAAGTGTGGCACCTGGTCTGTTATCATTTAACTGAAGTACTTCTTGTTTTATTATTGTGCTTTTCTTTTAGGAATAAACAGTGCCAGTTAGGATGTTTGATCATTAAATATCGCTTCTGCCTGGGAATCTTACAGGGAAGGAAAATACGATAACAGGGAGGTACAAATGAAGGGGTTTCTTTCTGCTGCGAAAGATGTTGGGCATCAAAGCTGTAAGAAATTACCTAAAAGGGGTCCTGTTACAAGCACTGGTTTTTAAAGGGTTTTGGTGGTTTAGTAGTTGTAGGGATTTTAAAAAATATTCAAAACTTGTCTTCTTGCCAATCCTCACCAGATTTTCAGAAGCACGCTTGCAGCAATGCTGGCCTCTCAGCTTGTCCCTAGGTAGAAACCCATTGTTGTCCTACTCTGATGCTGGAGCTTACAGCTCTGGCTGTGGCATGTGCACCACAGCCAGAGCTGTGCCAGCTACTCCAGGGTGATTTTGTTCCCATTTCTTCTGGGATTTTTCCATCAGTAAAGGAAGAAGCCAGAACCACACCTCAAACTTGGGAAAATCTGCATGGAAAGAAACTAACAGCAGGTTTGCCTACATACTACCCTTACCTACATGTTCAGGGCAGGGCCTTTCTCCCAGTGTCCCCAACCCCTGAAGATGAGAGGCCATGGGTCTTGGCTTCCTTCTCTGTGTCTTCAGGGGCTTCTTTCCCTGTGTCTTCAGGGAACAGCCCTTCTATAAACTCAAGCCCCAGTTTCACCTTCATTTCTGTGCTATGCTATGAGGCCAACATGCATGGGACATACATTGTAACACTAATTAAACATTTTGGGAATGCTGCTTGTAGGTGTTGGTGAGGGTGAGCTTTCTCAAGCTATGTCTCTGTGTCTATGCCAGTAGCTCTACCTTGAATTTAGCAGCTTGTAATCCTATATTGAATAACACAGTAACAGTGACAGAAGCTGAATGTGGTAGCTATCTTCCCCCATATGAGGAAGATTTTTCTTTTGAGAGATGGATTGGTCCTTTATTCCTTGAAATCAGCGAAGCATACCTGAGTAAATGTACGTGCGTATTTGCATGCATAGATACATGTGCATTTAATATAAAAGCTGGCTTAAATGCTACTTTCAGCATTTTGACATCAAGTGATGCCAAAGTAAAGGTTGCTCACCTAGGCTGACTGGACGAACCAGCATAAGAGCTCATAAAGACTTGTATTAATTAACTTAATTGTCCTTGTGGTCTGACATTGCAGGGTCAAAGCTGTGCTTGATGCTGAGTTTCTGCTGTGGCTCTGCCCTCAACTTCCATGAGATTTATTCACACTCCCCTACTAGCCTAGACCAAACGTCTAAATTTTATGATTAAAGCTTGTCTAGTGACAATATTTTAAGTCATTTACTCTGCAATTGTTGCAGTGTTTGACAGAGGCATTTCTTTTGGAGAAAGCTGTACAATTCTGACGGGTAAAATCTTACTGCAAAACTTCCAAGTATTTTGCATAGAAATGGAGGAGTTATAATAAAGTCTGATTTCCCATTTTCATCCTAGGGAAGACAGTATGTCCATGAGACGCTTGTAATCCAAAG